TGACAGCCCTAAAAAACTTATTTCTTGTAGTCATAGGGCTGATATTCCTGAAAACCCACTGTACAGGATGCTGAATTACAACAGTTGAATTCAGTCTCAAGTTTCTCATGTGAAAGGGCATTGACTGATAACGAACGGGACCCTGAAACTTGGAATGGAGACATTTGTTTGGACCCAGATGAAACTGATAATCTTGAACCCCCAGGCCATTCTGACATTCCCTTACCAGTTGAAGCAGCTTGTCCTGCAGTATCTGTAGAAATAAGCCTTTCTCTGCTTAAAAATCCTGTGATAACCTCACCTAGGGCAGATTCCATGAAAGGGGATGCTGTTCTTAAGATCCACCACCACCACTTCCAACGCCAATAAATCCATAACTAGGGTCAAATCTCAGGATACTCCAGGCGGCCAGACATACACTAAAACCCCAGAATAGCTTACACAGCAAACTGGGAGAATGGATAAGCAAAACAGGGATGCACACCATGGGATACTGTACCACTTAGAAGCAACGGACTAGATGTACATTTGCAACGTGAGTAAACCTTCAAAACATGGAGATAAGTCGTAAGAAATAGAATGAGATAAGTAACACTATTCCATACCATTTAATTAAATATATGCATATAAAACCTGGATGCAAACAAAAGGATATACATTAAATGCATTAGAATGGTTGCCACTGGCAGGCAGGTGAGTGGGAATGGGGAAAAAGATGAAAATAAAATGAGAAGGGTCTTGTCTGGACTAATCACGAGAATGTACCAAAAAATTGAGTATGACTCAGGAGAAAAAGAACACGTCAGCTAATAGGGACTCTCAGTCCTTGACAAGATGCTGATCTAACATAATGTGCTGCCTCTCCCCCAATTCCAGCCCTGAAGATGACACACAAGATAACTGACAAATGATGAAATCTACTAATTATACAGCATTTACCATGTGCCAGGCACTATTAACTCATTTAATCATCTCAGCCAATACTATATTATCCCCATTTTACAGATGAGAAAACAAGTACAGAGAGGTTAAGTAACTTGCCTAAGGTCACACAGCTGGTAACGCTAGACTGGAATGTTAATATAGTCCAGATGACACTAAGAAACATCTAGACTGGAGAGGGCGAGTCTCAGGTGGGGCTGGAGGTCAGGGGCCAGAGGTCAGGGGCCAGTGGCCTAAAATCGAAGAGGGATAGGCACCAGGGACAAAGGAGAGGCCAGAGGAAAACTGTGTCCTTTTGTTTCTCCCCACCCCTATGTTGTTCTGGGAAGATCACTGTCCACCTCATTACCATGGCAAGGAGAGCAGCGGTGCCAAGCGTTACACTAAGGCAGCAGGCAGCACCAGCGCTGCGGGGGTCGGGGGCACATGACAGGTGCAGGGAACAGGCTGAGTCATCTCTCGCCACACACACAGGAACCGAAGGCTCAGCCCTACCTAGTCTAGTGCTAGTAAATAAACACAAGACCCTCAAGGAAGGAAATTTGGCCAAGATTTCCTTGAGGAATTTGACTGTCCCAAGAGGAAAAACCCAAAAGCACTGGTATCAGGAGTTCCCCGGCGAAGAGCCCCCACAGCAAAGCTGTGAAGTGGCAAAGCCCTGAGAGCTTACATGTTAAACCCCTACTTACAATCACAAGCACCAAACCCAAAATCCCCACTCACTTCAGGAAAGCCTCTAACACGGAAGAGTTTGAAGCAGAAAAAAAAAGCAATAGGCAACGATAACTTTGAAGGGGGTAAAAAAAAACACTGTAGGAAGAAAACTTAAAATCATCTTTAGCTTACTATAAAGCTACAGTAATCAAGTACTATCATAGTAAGTACGGTAATAGACTGTAAATACAGTATATATGGTTCCTACAAAAATAGAGGTAATTCCATGGGAGGGTAGTCTTTGCAACACAACATGAGAATAAAATGTACGCCAATGTATTAAAAAATAAACCCCTACCTCACCATAAAAAAAAAATCAATTCAAGATGGATCATAGACCTAACAAAGTTAAAACTACCAGACTTTGTAGAGGGGAAAGAAAAAAGTTATGACCCCTAAATTAGGCAGTTTCAATTGACCTATTACAGAAAGCAATAATCATTAAATTTTTAATTAGACTGAATTTGCTCAAGAAAAATAAGAAAAAAACAGGCAAGACAAAGTAGGAAAAAACATTCACAACACACATAGAAACTTGCATGCAGAACATATTAAGCACTTTTATATTTGAAAGAGATGATCCAATTGTTGAAATGGACAAAAGACTTGGGAGTTTTTGAAAGAACATATAGAGATGGCTGTAAGAACACGAGAAAACTGCCCAATAAAAATACAACACGAGATACTCGATTGGCTCCTGGAACAGAAAGAGGACCGTTGTGGAACTTCAATAAAATCTGGAGTTTAGTTCATGTACCAACATTAATCTCTTAGTTTTGATAAATATACCATCGTTACGTACGATGTTAAAATTAAGGTAGGGGGAGGGTAAGAGCTCAGTGGTAGAGTGCATGCTTAGCATGCTTGAGGCTCTGGTTCAATCCCTAATACCCCCATTAAAAAAAAATTAGGGCAAACTAGGTAAAGGATATATAGGAACTCTACACTATGTTTGCAACTTTTGTGTAAGTTTAAAATCATCTCAAAATAGTGTTGTGCATCACTTAGGAAAATGCAAATTAAAATCACGATGTCATACCATCCCACCCATCCACTAAAATGGTTAAAATGAAACCGATCAACAGCAAATGTTGGATAGCAACCAGAACTTTCATAAATTGCTATGATGCCATAAAATGATAGTCAATTTGGGAAAACTACTTGGCAGTTTCTTAAAATGTCCATCAACCTCATTACCCCATTGATTCTACTGCAAGGTGTTTCTCCAGAAGAAATGAAAATCTAAGTCCAAGACTTGCACAAGAATTATTAATAGCCCAAAACTGAAAACAGCCCAGATTTCCAGCAACAGAATGGATAAACTCTACACTGGAATTCTGCCCTGCAACAAAAAGGAATAAACTACTAGTACAACTATATGGATGAGTTTCAAACATGCTGAAGGCTAAACACAGAATGTACATTGTAGAACTTAATTCATACAAAGTAGTAAAATACGCAAAAGCACCCTACACCAATAGAAACCAGGTCGGCGCTGCTTCTCTAGGGGGTGGGAAGATGAGCTCCTGACTGGTAAAGTGCACGCAGGAACTTCCTGGAGTGAGGGAAAATATTGTCTTGATGTGCAGGCTACCAGTCACTAAGTATATTTCAAGATTAATCAAACTGAACACTTGGCACCTACCCTTTTCACTAAATATTTCCATTCAAAAAATCTTGAGTGCTACTCATCATTATTTATCAGATATACACATTTAAACCACGGCAATACAAGGTACTCACTAGAATGGCTAAATTTTAAAATACCAAACCCTGATGAGTCCAGAGTAACCAGAATTCACTGAGTGGCAATACAACTTTGGAAAAACTGGCAATTTCTCCTAATTTTCTGCTTTACAATCCAGCAATTTCGTACCTAATGTTTCCATCATTAATCATGCACACAGAACTCGCACAGGAACGCTCATTCAGAGGACTTATTATCCGTAATAGCCAAGTGCTGGAAAAAGCAGATTTCCAGCAATAGGCAAAGCATACTATGCTCACATACTCATGCAGTAGAAGGGAAACATGATATACACAACGTGGGGGACTCTCAGAAGCGTTTTGCTTTATGAAAACCTTATACAAGGATCCGTATTTTGATTGCATTTAGACGTTCCAGAACAGGTAGCTAGTCTGCATCTCTGGGAGTCTATTCGTGGGGGATGAAGGCAAGTATTGTATAGCAAAGGACAAAAGATTAATTTGCTGGGGTGATAAGATCTTGATAATGGGTATTTTTACCAAATCTCATAGCACGCTTATTTAAACATTTGATTTAAACTTCCTCCAAAATCTGTAAATATTGAGTTTGTTATTGTTACAAATGCTTGTTTGGTTATTGATATCTTCAACTTAACAAAGATTAATGAATTGAGATAGACTTGAGTTTTTCCCGAAAAATTGGTTTGGAGCTGAAGCTATTTATAGGATGTCAGTACTTAAGGCTTCTTCTGCCCTCCTCCTAACGCTAACATTATTTTCCATGTTACGAGTTCTGTTCAACTGGCTGTATAACCCAATTGCAATACCATTTTAGATGCTGATAGTTACTGCATGTATCAAGATCCATAAAAATAGACTGCACCAGTGGTCTGGCCCACCTCAAAGGTAAACCTAAATCAGCCTACACTTACAGGAACACTTGTCAGAGACCTCTAACACACCAATCACAATCCTCCAACTTGGCTTTGGCTAGCTCACCCTACCCTAGAAGACAGGACCCCATAGCTAATGAGGCCTCGAGAGTTCCTTTTAACAAACTGTGAACTTGGGAAGAGTGCTTCACTGCTTTGAGGCACTGCACTCCCAAGCCATTGATCGTTTTCCCTTGAATAAAGACAAGTGTCACTAAATTAGTTTTATCAAGTGCAAATGAACATGAGTCAGATGTACACAGTACAGTAGATAAAGCAGAGAAAGTTACCAATAAAGCAGCACGGTAATCATGTGCTGGGTTAACAGCATCCTTGAGGGACTTGGTCTGAAGTGGGACCCACTGCCAAATCGATTTAACCGACCTGTTCCTCCCAGGAGTTAGCAGGAAATATTAAAAAGCACTACATCTTTGGCATTCTAGCTTCTAGTTCTTTGGTGTTACAGCTCCAATTTCAGGATAAGGATTAAATGAAATCATCTGAATCACCCTGCTGCCTACCTGAAGCTCCCTCCGCTACTAAAGGAAGCCTGGTTGCAGGCTGCCTCAGTGCCTGTTCCCTGGCCAACTCCAGGTGCCAACGGCATGAGAACTAGTTTGAGGGAGGGGGACACGTGGAGGTGGTTATTTAAAAGCATAAATCCCTTATTACAAAAAAAGAATGAACCCAGGGCCACAGAAAAAATGCATGTTAAGTTTTATTAAGTTTCAAATACAAAACATTCCAAAAAGAAAGCCATCTATTATACCTAAGTTCTATATTCAACTACCAGTTAAACAAGGAAAACACATTATTCTTTTACAACCAGTATAAAGCCAGAAGAATCAAGACAGATTCTTTTTCCAACAGGAGCAGAATTAAGTCTGCTGGGTCAGTAAACTATTTGCCAAACAGCTGTCTGGTCATTAAGCAAACTTCTTGAATATTCATGTTTACTATGATTAATCTCTATGTTCTACACTATCTTTAAGATACCTAAATAAAATCTCAAGAGCCAAACGGTCCTCAGAAGTATAAACCCAAGTAATTTAGATTACAGTATGATTGAGGAAGACAGCTATGTAAGTGCAATAGCTACTTAAATTTGGTCAATACCCTCACGCCCTGTGATTACAAGAGCCTGTCAAATGAGGGTTGTTTTCTGGATTATTCTTCACAATTGCAAATGTTAAACATGATAGTACTGATATTTATGACACAAAAACTCAGTTTCTTCTAACCCAACAACTCAAATCTGTTTCCTTTGAGACATTAGCTTTTACACTATTGGCTCTAGTTTCCAATGCAATAAATTATAAAGTTGTATCTTGATTGGCTTCCAAAACACGAGGTGTGGGGTGGCGGGTAAAGTAGACATACAAAACATCTTATAAAAAAAAAAAGCAAAAGCCAAATGGCCCGATTTTGTTTCCAGTTTTTTAAAGTGTGCTTTTGACCATTTTTAGCTATGTTTCCAGTTACTTTAGTTTCCAGATATTAGTCTTCCCTTTAAAGACTACATCTCACTTCTGGATAAACAAGAAATATTTAACTTGCTGAATATCAGACACTTTACTGGATAGTTATGTCTTATGCCTTTCATTTTTCTAATCCAACTTTCTGACAGTTGGTGGTAATTAGGAAGACATTCTTAAGTGCAGTTGTCCTATGACTTTAGCTAAAGAGAATGAAGGTCAAAGCTGTAAAATTGCACAAAGAACCACAAGAACTTCCTGACTACCTCCACTTACCAATTTCCTATATTGCTCCCCTTTCTCCACCTGGTCAATTACTTATTTTAAGTAACTGCCACTCCCTAGTTAAGAGTGCTAACCAACATTGATGCCTTCCTTAGATCCACAAGAATCCCTGAAGGCAAATATCTATTGTCTGCACCAAACCAATTCTGATGAGTACTGCTCATGCAACTGTTGTGCCTTAAGGACAATCAGCATTCTTCTGCTTCAACAACTCTGTAAAATGAAAAGCATGCTATCAGGTCACAGGATATTTACTGTTTTACACTGGAAATTACTTTCCCTCTTACCTACTATTTAAATACATACTTTTTGTTGCTTTAACTGGCAATAGAACATTTATTTGCTTTAAATTGCAAGCTCAAAAAAGCGATCATAAAACCCAGTGTAATTCCTCTAAGCACTTTGGTAATAAAAAAAATAGCTATGTCTTTACTTTGCCAATAAAATTGTTACTCAAACTAGGAGACTCCGTGACACCTGCATCTGTTCACCCTTCAGCCAATTTGTGCTGTGGCTGAGCAGGTAATCAACTATTAAGAGGGAACTTCTTTCCTCACAAGAGGAAAACTATGGGGGAACTTAACAGAAACTTTAAAAAAGCTTAACAGTTTTCCCTCTTAGCAGTGCTTAGGTAGTTGTGATAAGACATGACAGAACTTTTACAAAATGCATAGGATTAAGTCTGAACCTCACATACCAAAATGCTAACCGTATAGCTTAGCCAACAACTAACTGCTAATGAAGATAATATTAGCAAACTGTGTATACATTCAAATACAGCTAAGAGCAGTGCATGACTGAGCCACTAATGGAAATATACCTGTTTAAAATAACCTCAACCCACAGACAAATGACAGTTAATGTGCCAGGTGTTACACATTACAGCACTTAGCTTTATCCTCATAATATAAGAACTAAGGTTATCATGCCCCAATCACAAGATAACTTACCAACAGATTCGCAACACAGCAAAGCTAGTGTTTATCTGGGTTTTTTGTGGGGGGTAATTTGTTTTATTTATTTTTGGAGGTACTGGGGATTGAACCCAGGACCTTGTGCATGCTAAGCATGCACTCTACCACTTGAGCTAACTCCCCCCCACAAAGCTATAGTATTTAAACCTAAAAATGCTACTGGTTTCAAAACTTACCTTAGCATTTCACTTCTCTTGCTGCCAGCTTTATCTAGTGTGAATAAATCAGCACTCCATGACCATCATGACCATAATGACCAAATTCTCAACCTGTAAAAATTAAATAGGTAACTAGTTATCTCTCTTAAGGAAATTCTTCAAAACTTCCCTATAACTGCCCTCTTTTCCAGAAAGAAAAGGCAAGTTCAGACTTGTAGCTTAACGTATTTCGTGTTCTACTATTTCTCTTAAGTGGTGGAAGATTCACTGGCTTGGGATGGACTGGAATGGCTTAAATGGCTTAAAGTTGCATGGCTTATGGATTCCCATTCTGTTCCAATGGTGCACTGCCATGTTTAATCCATAAGTTGAACGGACAAAACTTATTTGAAGGAATAAGTGCAGTGTAAGGATTTTTAGTTGGAGGTCTTCAAGTTTACTATATTCAAGAGCATCTTTTTCAACTTCGTGGCTGGACCTGGGTCATGCTGCCTCAGGTTTTGCTTTTTAAAGACCACTTGCAATAGATTTTCTCCATACAGTGTAGTTTTCATAGAACTAAAAACAAGTCAGGCATCCAACTAAATGTCAAGTTTGCAATGGCTTACAGGGGTAGAGAGGGGGACCCCAAACTTAAGCCATTTCCTACAGTCTAAAAGACTAATTTGAAAAACGTTAAAACGTATGAAGCATGTTTAAAGGTCTTCATCAAAAAATACTTTAAAAAAAAAAAAACCCCCTCCCAAGCCCCAGATTGCTATTGGTAAACAGCTGTATTAGGCCTTTAAGTGCCACACATGCTTTAAAAAAAAAAATTCCAAGTGTTGAATTTGGAGGACTTCTAATACGCTATCGAACACTGTTTTCCAAAAGTTTTTTTAAATCTAGAAAGCATTTCCATTGCCATGAGGTACAGTGTGTTTCACTGTACTATGAGGAAGGTTTAAGTGTTCAATTTCGACTTAGACGGAAAAACTAGTTTGCTTTGCTTACCATCTTTGCTGTTTCACAGGCATTTGATGCTTTAAATCTGATGTGGAATGCTGATAGATTCACTTTTTAGAAGTCATAAGCCTTTGAGAAGTTGGAGATAACTTCATTGCTTATCTATTTTCTCCTTTGCAATCAAGCTGTTCCTTAAAAGTGAGACACTACAGAGTTGCAAAAATTTGAAACAGTAAGAGCAAGCATCGTTTGCAGCTTCATGGTTGGTTTTGGCCAAACTTTTTATTTAGTATTCTGTAGTTGCTTAACACACACTTATATGGTCTTATTGGGGGAGGGGAAATAGGGGAGGTTCTTGTAGATTCCCAAGGAAATGTCAGAAAGGCATAATATGGCCAGCATTATCCATTTGCTTTTTTGGGTTTACTGGGCGAATAGCACTTTCCTTACATGTAAGCATCTGATCTCAGGTTTTTCACACTGAGAACATTGAGATTTCAGTTTGAAGACACTCTGAAATCCTATGAGTAGCATACCCCGACCACCCTCTAATAGCTAGCTTGTTTGTATAGGCAGGAGGATTCATTTCTCCATTTTAGATGGCTAGATATTTTGTGGAAGATCTTAGAATTGCTTGCCTCATTTACTGGGAAAAAAAAATCTTATAGAAGTGGCCTTTGGGGACACTTTTACAACACTAGTACACATGTCAAGTCTTAACACATTTAACATTTGCTTATTGAAAGCAATGTCATAAAATCAAATAAGATTAAACATGTTTTACTCTTTTCCTCACAAGAACATAAAAATTAAGGAAGGGGAACTTAACAGGAAATTTAAAAAACGTAACACAATTTTTCCTCTTAGTAGTCCTTGGGTAGTTACGACAGAATAGGTTCCACTTTTGTTTGTTTCTTTGAACAGGGATTTTGGTCCAAAGTTTTGTTTGTTTTTAATATCTGCTTCTGCCTCCCCCTCTATCAGATCGGCTTCCTCCACGGCCACCACCTCTTGGTGCTCCGCGGCTTGAACTGCTGTAGGAATCACGTGGAGGAGGGTACCCCCTTTCCATAGAAGGGGGAAGCCCTCTTTCTTGTCTGCCAACCCGATCACGACCACTTGAGTAGAGATCACTTCGGCTGCTTGAGTAACTGTCTCGACTTCCACCATATCCGTCACGTGAGCTGCTGTAATCATCATAGCGACTGCTTCCACCATAAGATGGCGGGGGCCCTCGTGTAGGTGGAGCACTACGTGAGTTACCTGCAGGGTCAATGGTCAGGTAATATGGCAACACTATAAATTGGATATATACAACATTTATATCTGAATTTACAGAATTCTTGTATTAAACGTTTACTTTCTCAACTGGGAGGTTTTAAACTCTGCCATTGCTGGCCATTAACAGGGATTTGCTCATCTGCTGAGATACGGGCATGGATGGATTTTAATGTTTGTTTGAAAAGACTGAAGACGGTGTGTATTTCAAGAGGATATTCCAGACAGCTTGTTATTTTATAGTAGACACTCAGCCACCTTCCAGTGATAAGTTGCAATTTTGAACTGTAGACTTTCCTTCATATTGCAATGGTAAACATTTCATCTTGTTAATAAAATTTTTAAATTGTATTTTCACTGTTGGGGGAAAACACATAAGGCTGCCAATTTAAGCAAGCAAAATCCCCTCCAAAGCAAGCAAACAGCCTCAAAAAAAAAACTTAGAAAAAAAAACAAAAGCCCCTCACAAGACTAGGAAAAGCCCAGCTGATTAAGTTACCCCCGTAAAAGCAAGCAAACATCCCTTTAAAAGCAAGCACCACACAGCCTAATAAACTGGCTCATGAACCTAAAAACTCAAGCTGGTGATATTCAAAGACCCTCAACCAAAATCTTACCATAACTCTCATATGAATCTCTGTAGGAACCTCCACTTGGATGATCTGAATAGTCTCGATCACGACCATAACCATCTCTATCACTAAATTAAAGAGGAAAATGTGTAAGCCCCAGAGCATCAATTTACTTTTTTTTTTTTACATCAAGCCTTGGCAGCAACAGCAAAGTAACTTACCTATAGCCTCTTGATGGATAGTCATCACGTGAACTGGAATGACCATAATCACGGTAAGTGTAATCTCTTGGCGGTGGTGCATAATCTCTTGTATCTCGAGAACTTGGGTAATCTCTACTTGAATAGCTACAGAAACAAAAGTAACTGGTTTATACTTTTGATGAGCTCTCCCTTCAATCTTAGCTATTAATGAGACAAAAGCTACTATGCTTTTCTGTTACCTGTCTTTAGTAGAATATCCATCATCTCTTGGGGACAAATAAACATCTCTACGAGAGGGTAAGGGTTCCCTTCGAGGCGGGCCTCCATAACTATCTCTTCCACGTGATACAGGAGCTTAAAGAAAAATATATAAAAGTATATCCAGAGAAAAGTCAAAATATAAAAATATATTCAGGCAATGAAGCAATTCAACCAAATATGACAATATGGAGATAAATCAAGAAATCCTCTAAAATTCTTACACCCAAATTCTTTTCAACGCTATGCACTTAACTGCATGTACCCAAGATCACCTGGAATCAGTTTAAAGCATGTTTAAGATTCACCTCTCAATCCTTTCCTGGTGGTAAGACAAACTGACATAAAGAAACATTTACCTCTTCCACCCATTCCACTGCTGCTGCGAACTGGTCCTGAAGGGGCAGATCGTTTAGGAGGAGGACCCCCACTTCGTGGTGGTGGTCCTCTTTTTACCGGGAGTGGTCCCCTGGAAGAACTCATGTTAAAATTCATGGAATAGCCACCATCATCTACATGAGAGCAACAACAACAAAAAACACGTTACTACTTACATGAAGTAAGAAAAAGCTACAAGTTTCCTTTGACCAAGACCGACCATCATTTGTTTACTGGGGAATCTTCAGTTTTCACTCATACAAGATTGTGCATAAGAAGTCTACATAGATTAGAAAAATGAACTTAAGTGTAGTCTTAAAGTTACTTCAAATAAATATACAAACTTACATTTTTGTATGACCAACACCTATCAAAAATTTTCTGCAGGTGTTTTTTCCTATAGAATGAACTACCTGGATAAGGAATAGCTTACTTAAACATTGTAATGTAACTGAGGATGCCTTCACTGTTTCCCTTAAGTCATTATCAGTAGATGAACAAGAGTTCTCAATTTCAAAAGCTGGGGCCTTTAAACAAAGCACACATCGGTGTTGGTTACAGTTCCCAACTTAATATAATAGGCCTGAAGTAAACGCAAGTCATTACCCATGTGTCCTCCACGTGAAGGAGGTCCCCTGGTTCCTCCACTTCCTCCTCTTCCACCTCTAAGGCCTCTTGGAGGGCCTCTGCTTCTTGGAGGTGGAGGTGGTCCACGTCGACCACTTTCAAACGACGGTTTAGTGGCTTGTTCAACTTTGATGGCTTTTCCATCTAAGGACTAAATACCAAACATGGTTTACTACATTAGTATTTAAAAAGGTTTCAGGTCCACTATGCACTGACACCAGTATGTTCTTGAAAATGCTACACTTTTTCACTTAGCACTTACATGCTACTCAGTTTTTTAGCAAGATGCTGATATGAACTAAAACCTAAGGTGGACCCACTGCACTGCTGGTCAGTAAATTTAAAACAATGCCAATTATTTAACTAATTATCAAGACAGTCAAAAAGAAAAGCCAAAGTTATCAAATCAGTTCCTGGATCCCAAAGTATACTACATACTAAAACTGAAAGACTCTTGTTAAGAGAACATATAATCCCTAAGTGACTACAAATTTGGTTCTAAAATTACAAAGAGCAATGATCAGCGTCCTGGAAAGGTATATACTCAAATTTCAAGAGCTGCCCCAGAGCAGACTTGGGTAACATACTGCACTATTTCACTTCCTAGGCAACATGGTATTATTGTGCAATCTCACCTTTCCATTCATGTCTCTGGCTGCATCCTTAGCATCTGCTGGGCTTTCAAAGGTGACGAAAGCAAATCCTCTGGATTTGTTGGTTTCACGATCCTTCATCAAGAGAACTAAAAAGTAGTTTTCAGGGGGGAAAGTGTTACTCTAGTTCGAATGAGAAAACAAAAGTAAATCTGTAAAAAGAAAAGCTCAGAACTTCTTAGAGGACAAAGTACATAATCATTTCGTAAGATCAATGCAATCAAAATTCATCATAGCTTATCTTTTAAAAATTCTGACAGCCTTCCATATACTTTGTTAACTCACCTTCCACTATTCGTCCATATTTGCCAAATACTGCTTCAAGGGCCTTCTCGTTTGTTTCTGTATTGAGGCCACCGATGAAGAGCTTCCCTGGGCGATCTGCTTCAACCATTTTCCCCCCTAGTGAAAGTCTGTTGAAATATCAGTGTTACTCCCCCTGGAAAAAGTTTACCCGACAAGTACTTATTGGGGCTCATTTCCCCCTGCTTTAATAAAATCATCCCTTAGTCACTCAAGGCAAGCAAACTAATCGTTCCTAAGCCTCAGCAGGAAACCAATTTAAGTAGTTTAGTGATAGCAGTTTATGTTAAACTGGTTAAAGAGCCAACTAAACTTACGTCTTTATCCTTAATCCACCTTGGCAGTTTATACCAAGATAACAACTACTCAATATTTGAAAAAGTGGGTAGCCTTTTAAAGATTCTATTATCACATCCCAATTACCCTATTTTTAAAAGCTGTCGACTCAGTCAAGGTCACAGGCCAAACGCAGATGCGTTTAAGACCAAGCCCTCTCCCAAGAACTGCCTCTCATTAGGATTCCCTAGTAAATCTAAGCAGCAACTTAAAGTTTTAACCAAGTTACGGCTCCCCTCCCTCCAGTCCCTGCCTCGCCGAAAAGGTTACTGACTTAAGAAAATCGTCAATAACAACCCACTATAAATAACGGAATGCGGACGCGCGCATTTCAACACTCAACACTCCGTGACTGCAGCGGAACCCAATTAAAACCCGTCATTAAAAACCGCGTGGAAAATACAAAATGGCGACACTTGGAGTCAGCCCAGAACAACCGCCACCGGTCAGCGGAGTAACTTTCACCGGCAGCGGAGGCTGGGAGAATTCAAAGGGCTTCCCGTCCGAGGCCTCCAATGAACAAGGACCCCGCGCAAGAGTGCACGTGCCCGCCCGTAGCGCCAGCGCCATCCCCATGCAGGTAGCGACCGCGCCTCCGCGGTCCCTCCTCGTCCCGCTCCAACCCCGACCTCCGCCACCGCCCCCCCCCCGCAGGCGCACGCCAACCTTCCGGAGGCACACACGCGCGGCCC